AATGAGATAAATGCAAAATTTCGCACGATCAGTCTAAATTTACTTTTCAAAAAGTACTAAACTCTGATACAACTCAGAGAATGTAATTTCTCTTCCCCCACTTTGATCTTTAATGGGTGTATATGCATGTGAGAATGAGAACAAGAGGACGCAATTTTTTTGTATTACTGATTCCACATACTAAGCAAAAGTCGAAAAATAAGTAGGTTTTAACTTTGTTGCATGACTACTTTTAGGCCAGTGTTTTGACCACTAACTATGGACATAAGTGAAGTCCTGCACTTCCCCTCTTCTTTTAATACATTTCCCAAACAAGACAAAAACTCAGATTTGTTAGGAGGTATCAGTGATGTAGCTTTCAAATATCGTCTAAACTGCAAAGCACATTCAACGACTGGTACTGCAGGTTTGTGCATGCTCTTCTTACAACACTAAATGTGCTGTGATGGCCGACAAGGGAAATTGACAAAGGGGGTGCCCAAATAATGCTCAAGAGGAGAGGGGCTATGAGCTACTTTAATTGTTTACTTAACTCTCAGTTTTGGGGGTAACGACCCACTTTGAATCCGTACACAGCCAGAGAGCATGGCCTCCGGGGCATCTCCGTGGCCCCCAATCCCTCCAGTACGTCGACAATACATATTCTACTTAAGTAGTATGCATTTTTGGGGAGCTAAATGTCATTCGTAAACTACTCACAAGTAGACTAAAATATCTGTCCCAATAAGAAATATATTTTCACTGGAAATATGCTATACAATAGTAAGATATCTTAAAATTTATTATGAAAAAACGAAAACAGTCTACCATTCTTATCTCACACTGCCGAAAGTGGATTTAGATTTTTAGGTGTAAATCGTGTAAAAATCAAGATTGGAATGCCAGCTAATAGTCATGCGATGCAGTGAATACATTTCGACATCCTAGTCCAAATTTAAATCAGGGGGAAATGCTTACTTTACTTCAGAGACAATAGACACCAGACGATGAATGCCCTACCCTTCGCTGGATGCTCCTTTGTACATGGACTTAGATGTGCTTATCCTTGTACAATTATGAATAAATTTGGTTTATGGTCTTGTGGAGCCTTATCTTTTATTACTGTTGATTGACTGAATAGTATCTCGTGTTTTAAGCAGAAAATTTTAAAGAAGTCAACTGTCTATTTTAGTAGCTCCCAAAATAGTTGTAGGTAGTACGTCTTTCTCCCTCTCAAATCTTACAAACTTTCCAAAATTTATGTTCTACGACTCTGGCGAAGGGCAAACCTCTAATCTAATGCACCTTCAGAAGTGGAGGGGGTAAGCTGTAGGCCTCGTTTAGTGACTTCTCTAAGGGGACTAGGTATATAACTACTCGAGGATATAATGAAAAGACAAAAAAGATTAATGAGCTGATGTTAGATTTCATATTTTTGTTCCCTGATAAAACACTTAACTTATGTTGATTTTCTTCCACCTCAGTGGAAACATCAACCACTTCAAAGGCACGCATGTCTGTTTAGTTAGCACTTCATTATCAGCTGTCATTTGAACACGTTTGATTAATAGATGATGGATGTGCTTCAACCCATTCTGACGACTATGCATTATTGAACGTGTTTTCTTGTTACTCATTTTAGTAAAACTGGAAAAAGTCGTGGTTTTAAGGTATTCACCGTTCAACCGACATTGTGAATCATCAGTGTGGGATGGCATTATAATTAGAGGTACTGTTGTACGATAGACTGCCGCCTACATTGGTCTGCAATGAGATAAATGCAAAATTTCGCACGATCAGTCTAAATTTACTTTTCAAAAAGTACTAAACTCTGATACAACTCAGAGAATGTAATTTCTCTTCCCCCACTTTGATCTTTAATGGGTGTATATGCATGTGAGAATGAGAACAAGAGGACGCAATTTTTTTGTATTACTGATTCCACATACTAAGCAAAAGTCGAAAAATAAGTAGGTTTTAACTTTGTTGCATGACTACTTTTAGGCCAGTGTTTTGACCACTAACTATGGACATAAGTGAAGTCCTGCACTTCCCCTCTTCTTTTAATACATTTCCCAAACAAGACAAAAACTCAGATTTGTTAGGAGGTATCAGTGATGTAGCTTTCAAATATCGTCTAAACTGCAAAGCACATTCAACGACTGGTACTGCAGGTTTGTGCATGCTCTTCTTACAACACTAAATGTGCTGTGATGGCCGACAAGGGAAATTGACAAAGGGGGTGCCCAAATAATGCTCAAGAGGAGAGGGGCTATGAGCTACTTTAATTGTTTACTTAACTCTCAGTTTTGGGGGTAACGACCCACTTTGAATCCGTACACAGCCAGAGAGCATGGCCTCCGGGGCATCTCCGTGGCCCCCAATCCCTCCAGTACGTCGACAATACATATTCTACTTAAGTAGTATGCATTTTTGGGGAGCTAAATGTCATTCGTAAACTACTCACAAGTAGACTAAAATATCTGTCCCAATAAGAAATATATTTTCACTGGAAATATGCTATACAATAGTAAGATATCTTAAAATTTATTATGAAAAAACGAAAACAGTCTACCATTCTTATCTCACACTGCCGAAAGTGGATTTAGATTTTTAGGTGTAAATCGTGTAAAAATCAAGATTGGAATGCCAGCTAATAGTCATGCGATGCAGTGAATACATTTCGACATCCTAGTCCAAATTTAAATCAGGGGGAAATGCTTACTTTACTTCAGAGACAATAGACACCAGACGATGAATGCCCTACCCTTCGCTGGATGCTCCTTTGTACATGGACTTAGATGTGCTTATCCTTGTACAATTATGAATAAATTTGGTTTATGGTCTTGTGGAGCCTTATCTTTTATTACTGTTGATTGACTGAATAGTATCTCGTGTTTTAAGCAGAAAATTTTAAAGAAGTCAACTGTCTATTTTAGTAGCTCCCAAAATAGTTGTAGGTAGTACGTCTTTCTCCCTCTCAAATCTTACAAACTTTCCAAAATTTATGTTCTACGACTCTGGCGAAGGGCAAACCTCTAATCTAATGCACCTTCAGAAGTGGAGGGGGTAAGCTGTAGGCCTCGTTTAGTGACTTCTCTAAGGGGACTAGGTATATAACTACTCGAGGATATAATGAAAAGACAAAAAAGATTAATGAGCTGATGTTAGATTTCATATTTTTGTTCCCTGATAAAACACTTAACTTATGTTGATTTTCTTCCACCTCAGTGGAAACATCAACCACTTCAAAGGCACGCATGTCTGTTTAGTTAGCACTTCATTATCAGCTGTCATTTGAACACGTTTGATTAATAGATGATGGATGTGCTTCAACCCATTCTGACGACTATGCATTATTGAACGTGTTTTCTTGTTACTCATTTTAGTAAAACTGGAAAAAGTCGTGGTTTTAAGGTATTCACCGTTCAACCGACATTGTGAATCATCAGTGTGGGATGGCATTATAATTAGAGGTACTGTTGTACGATAGACTGCCGCCTACATTGGTCTGCATGTGGTCCAACCGCACTGATAGATGCCGACTCACGTGACGAGAGCACTAGCTTTATGGATATGAAAATAAAAAGTAAATTTCTCCTCTGGTGGCATTAAAAAATCACCGATCCTGTTGAATCCTAAAAA